CTTTGAAGACTGCCAGGGGTGGGAAGAGAAAGAATATCAAATGTTTAACTAGGAAGTTGTTGTTGTTAAGTGCCTTCAAGGCAGTTTCAATTCAAACCTGTATAGGGTTTCCTAGGAGTGGCTGGTGAGTTTGAACCACTGACCTTGTGGTTCAAACTGACCATGAGGTCCAGTGCTTTATCCTACAGCACCACACTAGGACTCCAACTAGTGGATTAACTTGGGTAATGGAAAAGTAATATACAATAAGAAGGAGGTCAATGAAAATATGAACAAGGCAAAGGAAGACACTGAAACACAAGAGTTAAAGGCAACAAAGGTAAATACTACTGAATGCACAGTACTGCCTTAACAACAGTAACAATAATCTATAAGAGCATGCATAGCCATGCAAGCTGAACAGGTGTGGGACAGTGAATGGGGCCACACCCATGAATACATAGAGACTTGACAGAGGCTATTTCTACATATGTATTTTTATGTGCTGCAAATACATCCATAGTAGAGCACACAGGGGGAAAGTTATGAAAACTTCTTAGTCCTAACCAAACATCTTGAGTGAATGAGTCACTAGACCTGGGGGCTCAAGACCATAGTCTCAGGGGACACCATAGTCAATTGGCATAATATAGTCCACAAAGACTATTCTACAACCTACTTTGGTGAATAGTGACTGGAATCTTAAAAGCTTGTGAGCAGCCATCTAAGATCCAACTGTTGGTCTCATCCCAACTGAAGCAAAGAAGTGTGAAGAAAATTAAAGATAAATTGAAACAATTAGTCCATGAACCACAAGAATCTTAGCTTCCATGACCCTGAGATCAGAAAATGGTGCTTGGCTACCACTGCTGACCACTCGATAAGGATTAACAATAGAAGGTCCTGGATAGAATATGAGAAAAATGTGAAACAAAACCAAAACAATAATAATAGTAATAAAGACCAGGCTGACTGGTCAAACAGAGACCGGTGGAAGCCCTGAGACCATGGCCCTTAGTCACTCTTCAAACCTGTAAGTGGATTTCCCGCCCCCATGGTTCAACCTCCAGCCACAGTGGACAGGAACACTAGGAGGTACACACACCTTAGAGCAATCCACCACTTGAAGTCAGAAGGGCCACATTTGCCCAGGAATAAAACTCCGAAGGCTTGAGGGCCCTTTTAGAGTGAAGAAAATCAAAGATGCATGGAAACCAGTAGTCCATAGGCTGAATGGACATTGGGAACATCTGTCTTCACCTGAAAAGATCTTTTTATATTGATGAATTTGCTTCTACTAAAATCAGGAATGTCAAACTATAATAAATTATATTTCAGTATAAAAAAATATTTAACTTCAAATGATGTTGAGTTTTAACTACTTCAGTTTTTCAGTATGTTTTTTGTTTTTCAACTAATGTTCTGGATAAAAGTTAAACACTAAAAAATACATAAAAACAATATATGAAGGGCCTTGAAAAAGTTTGTGGAAAAATGAATTAAAAGATAATGGAATCTTTCCATAATGTTTTGAAGTTTCTTGGTACACAGGGGTACGCATTTATTCCCCTCTGTCTGATATTGCTCCCCTCAGCACTACTTACTTGGCCTTCTTTACCTTTAAACCTCATCTCCATCACTCTTCCACATGCACCCAGCTGTTTACCCCTGTTCAAATGGTCGCCATCAGTCTTAGTTCTCTAGTGTTGCTATAACAGAAATACCACAAGTGATCGCTTAAACAAACAAATTTATTCTCTAGAAAAACTAGATGAAGCCCAACTACCCTGTCTAGTGTTGCTATAACAGAAATACCACAAGTGATCGCTTAAACAAACAGAAATTTATTCTCTAGAAAAACTAGATGAAGCCCAACTACCCTGCTGACCAGTTTGAAAGGGACAGAGTAGGAGAAAACGTGGAACAAAACTCAAAATCATACAAGCGACCAGGCTTACTGGTCAGAAAGAGCCTGGGGAACCCGTGACTCTATGAGCCTTATCCCCAAAGGCCTAGAACCAAACAATAGATCTATAAGGTGAACCATAACTCAGGAGGCAGACACTTCTTAAAACCATCAACTATTCTAGATTATAAGCCTTTCCCAAGCACAAAGTTCAGAAAATAAAAAAGGTCAGAAAAGAGGAAAGAATGAAAATGGGAACTACAGAGAGGAAGTGTGATGAGCGACTACATTCGATGACATGAAAGAAAATGTGTACAAACTGTTGATTGGAAAATTGATTTGCTCTGTAAACCTTCATCCAATTCACATTAAAGAGCTAAAAAAAATACAATTTTAAATAATGTGCTTTTTCTCTTATTTTGTTTTCAATTGAGAGTTGTAAGTTATAACAAATGAAAGCAACTTTCAGTGTTTGATGAATGTAAAACTTTAGCAAGAGACATGGATATATTCCCAAATATTTCAATTAAAATAATGTTGTGAGGTTTAATACACCTATGTTTCCATTTTTAAGTATATTTTCAATTATTTTAACAACCTGGGGGAAAAAAAACAAAACTTTTCTTTTGCCTCAGACTCCAATATGGTTTGGCACAGAACTGTTGGAGCCATCTATTTTTTTAAAAAAATTTGTAATATTTTGTTTATTATGGATTTTTTTTGCATTAATTTTTTTTAAGGTTGCATTAAAGCTTTTTTCTTAATTGTTGTTGTTGATGTTAATTGCCGTGGAGTCAGTTCCAACTCATAGCGACCCTGAATAGGGCTTCCAAAGGAGTTGCTAGTGAGCTTGAAGCACAGACCTTGTGGTTCAAACAGACTTTGCAGTCCAGCACATTAACCTGCAGCACCACACCAGGACTCCATTCTATTGGCTACAGGGCTTTTTAGAGCCCCTTTGCACAAGTGTAAGATATGGGACAAAGCATCCTGAAAGCCAATTATCTGGAATCCAAAAGACAAAAAGCAGGACATTTCTTTCAAGTTGGCTCTCCAACCCCTCACCTGATGGTCTCTATTTTCTATACAACAGGAAGCACCAATTTACCTCCTGAGGGAAGTTGAGGAAGGAGCAGACTTAAGGAAAAAGATACTGATAAGTGTTTGAGACAGTTGCTGTGATTGGGAGAGAAGAACTACCTCTGAGGGCCAGGTGAGGTTGGAAACTACAAATGTCTCAAACCAAAGAGACAGTCAAGAATTTCCAGGCAGTTTTTGAGTGGGTGAGGCAAGCTTTAAAATGTTGGCTTTTCTGGGGCATTGTGGATGGATAGATGAGACATGTCACATATTTAGGATTTGGGACTCTCTCCAAAAACTCAGAACATGTGATCACTGAATTGATATTAGAATAGCATGCCATGTTCCAAGTATTTCATTCTAAGAAAAATGTTTTTATCTGTAATTTTGTGCTTCACAGGGCTAGGAAGATGGTAGTTGCTTAAGATGTAAGCTATGTAGCCAGATCTGTTTCCCTTTATGTTTCAAGAAACACATAGGCCAAAATTCAACGCAATTTACAATCACTGGCACACTTTGGGCAACTGGTGACATCTCATATACATTCTCTGTCTTTACCCTAATTGAATTATTGTCCATTAGGTTTAACCTTGTAAATTATTTTTACTAGGCATGGCACATATACTGATTTTTTTTTTTTTTCTTAGACTCCTATCAACCTTGCTTATCAACTGATATTTTTTCAAATTCTCTGGAAATATTTATTTCAACAAAGGTATTAGTTACCTGAAGCAGTACCAGCTCCCCTCCCATGTTAGTTCTACTAGAACCTACCCCCTTACTGTGCTTTGGGGCATTAAGAATCTAAATATACAAACTGACTGTATCCAGAACTGACTTTGTGACTCTACCCTCTGCTTTTATCACTGCCTGACAACCGAGCCTGGTAACCCAACTGCTTTCCACATATGGGCCCAGCACCCTTCCCCTGGGAGCCTTTACAACACCATTTACGCAAACAGAGGAATCTTTTAATTATGGTGGTGGTTATGTGCTGTGGAGTCAGTTCCAACTCATAGTGACCCTGCAAGGGTTTCCGAGGCTGTAAATCTTTATGGGAGCAGAAAGCCTCATCTTTCTCCCACGGAACAGCTGGTAGTGTCAAACTGCAGACTCTGAGGTTCGCAGCCCAATTCGTAACCACTATACTACCAGAGCTAGTTCTGTCTTTTATTGAAGCTAAAAATCTTTTCCTTTTAAGTAATATAAATTGTTGTTGTTAAGTGCCGTTGAGTCGGTTCCAACCCATAGCGATCCTGTATAGGGTTTCCGAGGAGCAGCTGGTGAGCTTGAACCACCAAACTTGCAGTTAAAACAACTTTGAAGTCTGGGGCATTAACTAATATAAATGAGGGGTGGGGATAAATGTGGAGATGAGTTTTCTGACTTCCAACTATTCCAGTGTGCCACAACACCCTTCCCACCTTTTCTTGGTGGTGTTTACTCAGAATCGTTGGCACTTGACAAACTGATTTCTTTGTGTTCTGCATAACCTCCTATTATTGTTTATCTGAGTCACAAACCTATTTCTCGTGGATTTTCTGACTTCACTCTCTATGTTTAAACTCTGTGATCACATTTCTTTGATGGCAGGTGAGGTTCATTCAACCTTGACATTCTTCTGTGGCCTTGGCATTCATAAACGACATGTCAAGTCCACAAGGACTGTTTTCTCTCGGGGAGGAGAGCAGCAGGAAGCTCCACAATTGTAGACATCCTCCCTGCATCCTCCCAGGCAACCTACGCAACAGACCAGCTCTGTTCTGCCAAGAACCAAGTCCAGCATTAACACACCCAGGAGCACATCTCTAGAAAGTTCCCAGCTTAGCAAACACATCTCATTTAGGCCACTTCCCTGGTTGCTAATTGACAAATTCACAATTAGCATCCATTAACTCTCCCCTTCCTTCTACCATATAAACCATGCAAAAGGTACAGATAGTTTCACTCTCTCTCCCACTGCATTTCCTCAAGACACGAAACATCTGAAGTTATTAAGTATATAAACAGCACTATTCTTTCAGTGTCCAGGTACCTGGAGGAAGTTTCCCTTTCAGTTTCCATGAATTCCAAGTCATTCCACTTTTACCATCCTTTCTGGCCAATGCTGGAAACTCCGCACACCCTGTTCTCTCAGCAAATGCATGGAATCTGAAACATTAAGATAATTTCAATATTAGGCTACTACAGTGGCATTTGTGTATGTCCACTATTTCTCCTAGGACTTTAAACTTGCTCTTCTGTAAGTACCAAGCATCTTATTCACATCCACTGCTGTTCCCTGTACCTTTTCGATTCACACAAGCAAGAGACAGAGAGACGGAAGAGTACAGGGAACTGTAAATAGTTTGGGATTTAAACTGAGGTCTCTTCATTACAGGGTAATTAGCTCGACCAAATGGTACTTATTGATCCTAGAAAAAGGATACATTGTGCTTATATTTATTCTTTTGTTCCCAGTTCACTCATGTTAATAAAGTTTTGGCAAGCCAAGAGTCTAATAACTGGGTCTTTGCAGTCCATTAGCTCTGTGGGTTCTGTGTGTTGAAAACTTGTAACTCAGGTACCACTGGCTAACTGAACTATTGCTCATGGGCTGCAGTCAACTTTAAGCCAGGAAACTTCCCCAGAATCTAATTAAAAGAATTTGTATGTGGGCTAGTTTTTCCTTCCAAGGAGTAGCAGCAACAGCTCCTGGGAGCAGGTCAGAAATGCAAATTCTCAGGTCCCACCCCATATCTGCTGAATCAGAATCAGAATCCCTGTATACTTTCAAGTTTAAGAAAGGCAGTGTAGGGCAGGGGTAATGGGCTCAGGTGTACCCAGAGAGTCAATTGTCTAGAAACCCCAAAGCAGGGGATTTCTGCAGATTGGCAAAAGGTGAGTCATGTTCCCCAATGGGCTCAAGAGTTCCACCTCTGCCCTTGCCACTCACTCAACAGAAAAAGATCCTGACACTCAGGTTGGCTTGGACAGATAGATATGGGGGAGAGGTCTGGGGATCTCGCATGGACCATGGAAAACCTCAGGCCTGTCTGTTTCTAAAGGACAGAGACAAGACTAGGCTGATGATTTGATGGCAATGAACACATGGGCCTTGTTCCAACCACCCCTCATCACCAGGCCCTATGGCTGCCTCCTGCAGAGCCTTGTCCACAGCAGAAATGGCCTGCTTCCTTCCTCCTATGGGTACTTGCAGAGCAAGGAGGGGAGATGGTTGAGATCTGTCCTGGCAGGCCCCATACCTTGAATGCCAAAGCTTTTGGTGCCCAGGTCTCTCTAGTCTCTGATCTGGTCTCAGATAGGAACAGAGAACAACAGAGAGAAATGGACTCTGGCTGATGGCAGTTAACTCACATCCTCAACAAACAGCACTGAACCTGAGGACAGCCGGTTCTACCCCAACACAGCCTTGGGGCACAGGGTGAGCCAGAGTACAGTTGAAGAATCACTAGGCCGAGGCAGCCTCCCTGAAAGGTGAGACTCTGAACATGCTGTTTACAATTTAATAATAACTGCACTTCAGCTGTGGAGAGTGCACTCAGAGACGGTGGGTCTGGCAGCAAGCGGAACAGGGGTCAGCATGCTTGCCAGATCTCAGTGCATGCGTACACCTTGTCCTCTCGGTAAACTCTGGCACTCTGCAGTGTCCTGTACAAAAGCCAGTAACACAACTACAGTCCCTCCTGTATCAAATTACTCCCAGGGAGACTTAGCCTGCCTAGAGAAAGTGATGCCCAGGTTAAGCAGAGGTATCAGGAAGAGAGGTGTCCTGCCAATTGCTTTTTTTCTCTCTCTAGTAGCAAAGGTGAGTCCTGGTGTGGCACTGTGGATTAATGTGTCAGCTGCAAAGTCGTTAAAACCACAAGGTCAGTGGTTCAAGCTCACCAGCCGCTCCTTGGAAACCCTATACAGGGTCACTATGGGTTGGAACCAACTCAATGGCACTTAACAACAAGTAGCAAAGAGGGAGAAGTGAGTCCCTTCTGTGTTTCCGGGGTGCACGGGAACCCAGAATCAAAGCCCAGCACCTTATGTTAAAAGATTTCTAAGTGCTTTAAAAACTGCCAAAGCAAAGGGTCTAAGAATCACCAAAGATGTGGTTAAAATGCAGATTCTTGAGCCCCCTTCAGACCCTGAAATGAAGAATTTGGGAGCTGTGGCCATGGAATCTGCATTTTAAACACACTCCCTTGGTAGTTCATCTGCAAGTTAAAGGGCAAAAATGTATATTCCTGGGTCTTATCTCTATAGGAAATCAGTCTGGGAGGCAAAGCCCAAGCCTCTGTATTATTAACAAGCTCCCCATATGGCTAAAATGCTCACTTACATTTGAGAACAAAGTGTTTGAGGGCACCACTGTGTCTACATGCTGCTCGGTGAAAGCTCTATTGTTGTTGTTGTTAAGTGCTATCGAGTTGGTTCTGACCCATAGCGACCCTGTACAGGGTTTCCAAGGGTGTAAATCTTTACGGGAATAGAAAGCCCTATATACGGCACTTAATAACAACAGCAACTTGGGAAAAGACTGGGTAACTCTCTCTGTAACCATATGCATATCTGGACTCTTTCTACTAGGGATCTGACCTAACACAGAGAAGTCAGGGATGGTACCATAAAGACTGAAAAAAGGTACTGGAAAGAAGGGAAGAACAAGCAACAAACTGATTCAAAAGACAATAAAGATCAACCCATCTTGTGTAGGCAGGACCTCATTGTCACTCACAAGCACGTTTTCTGCCTACCTGCTGTGACTCTTGGCACTCAGATCTTTTAAAAAAGCTACCGTGCCTTCTCCTCTGGCATTGAAGGACACTGTGCAGACTGGATATGATATCTCCAAAGCCCTCTGAAGGAGAAGCTCCTTGGATTCCTCAGGAATGTCACCCACCACAAAGTAGTAAATGGATTCAATCTGCAAAACAGTAGTAGCAATGATTCATCTCCCCAACACCCCCGGCCTTGTACTGGACTCATCTGCAATATACTTTCTACAAAACTTTTTCCTTTCCTTTCCTTTTTTTTTTAATTGACAAAAACAAAGAAGAGCAGCCTGCTCAGTGTTCATGAGGGCATTTGGGAGCCAGGAAATGAGATATTCAAGGCCTGGGGCCAAGACAGTCTATTGGCAGTCTTACATGAGAAGAATATGGTTGGCAGATTTAGAGAAGAGCTTCTCCTAAGCCCACGAATACATGATACAATTTAAGAGTGCCTATTTTCAAGTCAAGTACCTGAGGAAATGTTGGCATAGCTACTGTGAAGAGGAAGCGTATTAGTCATCTCCAGTGGCAATGCCAAAACCCTACAGTGCAAACTCATCCCTCCTCAGGGAGTGAGATATGGAAAGGAAGGTATAGTCCCAGATGGTTCATCCTCTGGTCTTATTTCACCAGTTGAGAAACATATGGCTGGGGAGTGAGAGCTGTGCCGACTTCACCCAGCAGGAGAGGAGCCAGGTCCACCCACCACTGCCAGGCCATGAGAACAATGGGAGAATGAACCATTGTGCTAGGAGCCACCCCAACCATGGCCAAATACCAGCCATTTGAGAAGATGCATACCTCACCTAGGTAGGAGACAATCCCAAATAAGCACTCCCTCCTTTAGAGCAATGCAAAATCCACCCAAGAAGATTCTGGTGACAACTACCCCAGCCCCAGCCACACTGCTCTTCCCCAGGATTTTCCCTTCCCTGCTGTTTATCTCCCCTGTCACTAATGAGTTCTGTAACTTGGGGCAAGTGGTATGTGTGGAGAGAGAGAGAGAGAGAGAAATGCAATAAAATCCAGGGAGAGCCAGGAACATCTAAACCTGCCCCTGAAAACATCCCAATGGACTGCATCTACAAATAGCTGGAAAAGAAATCCCAGCAAATGTACTGAGCTTTAAGGGGTAAACAGACGTCATCATCCTGTTAGGTTGATGACCCTCTTCCTGTTCTCATCACAAGTCCCTGGAGGCTGAAGGTAAATCGTTAACATTTTCACCTCAACTTCAAACTTTGAACTTAAACTCACCTGGCAGACAAAAGGGTTGCCCTAGTTGGTTAGGATATTCTGTCAGAATCAGATGGGACAGACTGTGTGCCTAGGAGAGCAGGTGGGGACAGGGGTGGCTGAGGCCACAGGCTGGCAGTCACGAACAAGCCAGAGTGAATAGTGAGAGCATACCACTTCAATAACAACCCTCCTTGAACTTGGCACAAAACAAAAACAAAAGAAAAACAAAACACCCTCAACCCATGGCTCCTTCTCTCAGGTCCTTCAACAATAACGCAATAATTTTTTCAGTAGCCTAATGGGAGTTAACAGTCACACCAACCTGAATGCGCCTAATCTTGTCTGATCTCGGAAGCTAAGCAGGGTCCTGCCTGATTAGTACTTGGATGGGAGACGGGCCTGGGAATACCAGGGGCTGTAAGCTTTTGGAGTCCTGGTGTGGCAGTGTGGGCTAATGCGTCAGACTGCAAAGCAATTTGAACTGCAAGGTTGGTGGTTCAAGCTCACCAGCTGCTCCTTGGAAACCCTATGCAGGGTTGCTATGGGTCAGAATCGACTCGACGGCACTTAACAACAAGGGGGGTTAGGAGTCCTGGTGTGGCGCTGTGGGTTAATGCACCAGACTGCAAAGCCATTTGAACTTCAAGGTCAGTGATTCAAGCTCACCAGCTGCTCCTTGGAAACCCTACACAGGGTTGCTATGGGTCAGAATCGACTGGACAGCACTTGGAGTTAAAGATTGGGAGCTATAGTACACTCCTTAAATGGCTTTTAGCCAGTCACCTGAGAAGTAAAAGACAAACATGAATGAATGAAGAAATCATATTCATTGGACTACTAACTATGCAGCTAATGGGAAAGCCATAGTTTTTATTGTTCTTTCAGCAAATGCATTCTAGTTCATTCTTTTCTTATCGCTAAACATTACATTGTATAAGATAATATTAACTAGTCTCCCACTTACATGCACTCTCATTAAGTAGAGCTGTCCAAGCTGAGATGGGTTTGTTCTCTCTTAAGGGTGTAAAACTATGCGTGGTCTGAGACGGGGAAGAGACACAGGGAATATTTTCTGGGTGTGGTAAATGAATAGGGAGGTGAAGACAACTATCACTAGGCAGACTGTCAATAGCTTCTAACACCTAGGCATCTCTGCTGCACGTCAGCTCCTTTGCTCTGGCAATAACTCAAAAGTCTAGAATCCTTCTGCAGAAATGTATTTACCTCGAGATTTCATCATATTAAAAGTTGCTGTGGCCAGCAGTGAGTCAGAATTGCCTTCCCTTCACTAATGCTATGAGGGTTATTCACTACTCATTAAATTCATTACTCAGCTTCAAAATTGTCTGTTTTCAGTCCACTCTCCATTGTCTCTGATGCAGATTTCCTGGGACACGATTTACACTGTGACCACCTACTCTACCATCACTCTCTGCACACCGCCTTTTGCCTCTCTGTTCTGCTCACAAAATGACATTTTGAAACAACAGAGAAACATAAACATGTTGTTGTTAAGTGCCATCATACCTATCCCCAAATTGGTAGAATGCCTTTGAAATATGTGAACCACCAAAGGACTAATATTATATAAGACCGCTATTGTAAAAAGTCAAGAAAAGGTTTTCACACTAAAAGAAACATTCTTTGATGCTTACCTGGGAAGGGAAGGAAGAGGAAATAATTCACTGGTTAGAGAGAGGGCAGACATGTGCCAACTTTGGTGACAGGGAAGGCAACATACAATAAGAGGGAGGTCAGAATAAAATATGACAACAAAGGCAAACACTGGGAAGAGTATACAAGTTAAAGGCAGCAGAGGAAAATCCTGTTATAGACATAATCTTGACATAACAATTAGCTACAAGTGACTATACAGACAGATACACAAGCTGAGCAGGCGTGGCAAGAGGAATGGGACTATACCCACAAATATTTTTAGGCTTGACAGAGGCTATTTCTACATATGTATTGACCTATCTGCAAATATATCTATGAACATAGGAGCACACACATGCAGCAAAAGTATGAAAATGTATTAGCTGTAACCAAACACCTTGAGGGAATGAGTCACTTAGCCTGAGGACTCAGGTCCATAGTCTCAGGGAACACCAATGCCAAATGACATAACAAAGTCCAGAAAGACATTGTTCTAAATTCTACTTTGGTGAATAGCAACTGGGATTTTAAAAGTTTGTGTACAGTCATCTGAGGTACAACTATTGGTTTCTTCCTATACAGAGCAAAGAAGAATGAAGAAAGTAGAAGATACATTAGTTCATGGAAACAATGAGTTCATGGACTAAGGAACCTTAGTTTCCATGACCCTAAGACCAGAAAAATAGATAGTCTCCAGCTAACTGACCACTCTGAAAGGGGTCACATTAGAAGGTCTTAGATAGAGTAGGAGAAAAATGTGGAACAATATTCAAACTCATTTTAAAATACACCAGGTCTACTGGTTGACTAGAGACTGGTGGAACCCTAAGACTATAACCATTAGTCAGCCATCACGTCTGGAGCTGAATTCAACCAGTTACTCAATTTTCAGTCAAACAATAGGCAAGTTTATAAGTCGAACAATAACACTGGGAGGGGAGGTATGTCCTCCTTAAAATAATCAACCGGTTAAGTTCAAAACAGATAATGAAGAGTAGAAACCCTATGCTGGTTAACACACTTAGACTCTGAAGAGGACTGCCCTCTATACTGCCACACACTGCTTTCATTTGGTCCCTATTCAGTTTTGTAGGACACGACAATTCATCCATCAGCAGTGCTCCTCCAGTACTATTATTATAACCATGATTTAAACAGACCCAGACACTCTGACTGGGCTCCTCTTGGACTCCCTCAGTTGCTCCTTTCTGTTTCATCTTCCCAGTCCACTGTTGGTTAAAAGGCCAATTCTGGACAAGGCCACAGGCCTTTGGCCATCATCATCACCAAGCATGTCATTCCACTCTCCCTCCCATCATGGATTTGGTATACAAGACAAGGGCCAATTTCTTGGTTCTCTCAAGATCCATTCATGGAGGGAACGCAAAGCAGGTTATCCACCCATAGGGAAAATCTGGGTGTTAGTATTTACTGTCCGTTAATATTTTTAAAGCTTTAAATATTTTCTATCCACACCATGGTTTAAAATCTGGAAAAGTGTGCATCAAGGTTAGATTATTTCACCATAATTATTCAATCTGTATACTGAGAAAATCATCCCAGAAACTGGATTAAAGAAAGAAGAACCTGTCATCAGGACTGGAGTAAAAATCATTAACAACCTGAAATATGCAGATGACACAACCATGCATGCTGCAGGTGAAGAGGACTTGAAACACTGAAGATCAAGGAATACAGCTTTTAATATAGGCTACAACTCACTGTAAAGAAAACAAAAATCTCACAACTGTACCAATCAATGGAGAAATGACTGAAGTTGTCTTGGATTCTTTTTACTTATGTTTACAATCAGTGCTCGTGGAAACAGCAGTCAAGACATCAAACTACATATTACACAGACAAATCTGCTGCAAAAGACCTCTTTAAAGTGGTAAAGAGCAAAGATGTCACTTTGAAGACTAAGGTTCACCTGACCCAAGTCAAAGTATTTTTCAGTCACCTCAAATACATGTGTCCTGGTATGGCACTGTAGGATAAGCACTAGACCACAGATTGATTTGAACCCCGCCAACTGCTCCTTGGAAACCCTATAGAGGGTTGCTATGGTCAGAACCAACTCAAAGGCACTTAACAACTACAACATATACATAAAAGGATAATGATTAATGAAATCCAGAGAAGAATTGATGGATTTGAATTAAAATGTTAGAGAAGAATACTGAAAGTTCCATGCACTTCCAGAAAACAAACAAATCTGTCTTGGAAGAAGTACAGCTAGACTGT